TTACATTAATGTGCTCCTAGCAAAGTCCTTGTGCTTGACAGCCTGAGAAGCTCTAGAATTCCGCATACAAATTACTCATGACTGAGGTATAGTTCAGACCAAAATTTGAGGCCAGCATGTCAAGGAGATATGATATGCTATGAGATAGCTTGGAAGTGTTAACATTTGCTTCTTGCACCATGAAACCAACTGATCTGGGATGCCAATTGGTTGTCAACTTCTCATCGATGCTGACCAGAAGGGTTTCTTTCCCTGCTGTCGGAGAAGAGCCAGTGTGGTGCTTTTGTTGCATTTGAACTGGGGGCAATGCTTAGTTTGAGATCGAGATCACCTTCCATAGAAACACTCCAACTTTCACCTTCAACTGATTTACTGCTTTCTGGTCTTCTTTCTTGGCTTCTTGAAGTTTCTTCGTCGAAGAGGTTTAAGCATGACACTGGCTTGCATTCTTGAAGAAACGACTGTTCGGGTAATTGCCTAGTATCAGAGTACTGTGCGTTTCCAAGACAAGCAGATTGACTAGTCTCTGACGTACAAGAGCTATTCTTGAGGTTTGGCCTGTGGCCCTGCACCATTTCTCGAGTATCTTCTGTTCTGAGTTGGAAACTGTGCTCACCACGTAATTCAGCCATCAGTGCTTTCTGTACCCTGTATAGCCGATGCAGTTCATGCACCTGACGCAAGAAAACAGGAATGTAAAACTCTGAGTTGCAGAATGACAAGACAATCACAGAACAGTAGTAGTTGGTTTTCAGGTGAATGACTATGCAGGTTAACAGCACCATGCACTGCATTATATCATGAAGGTAGAACACATGTTAATTATTCTCGTTGATGACTGCAAACGTATATTGCAAATTCAAGAGTCTAAAGATCTATTCTGGTATTTGAACTTTGAGTTGCTCACTTTTGATCTTTCCCAATCTCAATGCTCTATATATGTCTTGTAAATCTGGTGCTTTATGCGACGATGAATTATGAATAACAAAACTACTTGTTACCTGTTGCCTGAAGACCTCATCATGTTCCATGATTGTTCTCCGAAGTGATTCCTTGCTGTCGTGTTTGGAATACCTGTCCATTATATCTGCCAAGATGTCGTTCAAAAGCTCTCCTCCACTAGCTTTCAGCAATATTTTGGCTAGTTTCTGAACAGAACCTCTACTTTCTAGCTCTCTAATGATGGTTATTCCTCCTTTCTCCAACAGGGCAAAGAGGATTCTATGAGTACAAAACAAATCAGTAGCCATTCCTGAAACAGTCAGATAGAAAGGTCAGACTCGTCACCAATATTGTCTGCATGGTAAGTGAATTATCACATAAAATTTTAAACTGCAACCAGAGTTTAATTCTACGATTTGCAAGGCAGAGTAATTATCACATGCTTGACTGCAGAGATAGAGGGAAATCGGCCGATGCTGGATGCTGGGCCAATACAGCATCGCGAAATCAAACATAGAGCAGCAATTCACATGAAGATTCACTCACCTGAAAATCGGCGACTCATGCTGCGGCTGCCTATCTCGCATCTTCACTCTCCTCTGGACTTCGGTTATAGCTCATGAGCACCGGGAACCTCCACACACCAGCAAGGGCACTGACGACGGGCGCAAGCTCTCCTCAGCACCCATTACTCATTTCGCAGCTGCGGATGGCGGCCGAGCATGGGAGAATTGCGAGGGAGAAGAAGCTCTGGAATCTGGATGCAGCAGCAGCAAGGCTCCCTCTCCTCCTCATGCTCATGGAGCAGACCGCATCCTTTTGTAGGAATAACAATAGGCGAGCCAACCAAAAGGGGAGGAAAGGCAGCAATGCAAAGGCTCGAGACAGGCTGTGCGATGGCTAAGCAGCAGCAGGAGCAGGATGCAGGGGCAGCAACGAGGCAAAAGCCGAGGATTTGAGATCGTTGGCAGGAGGCAGAGGTATTTGTTTATAACAAACAGGGGAGGCTCAGCTCAAGGAAGGAAGGATCAGGGAAGCGCGGCGGCCAATGGGACGGCCAAATCTCGCTGGTTTAATGAAACAAGGAGGCCAACCTACATGCATGTGGAGTAGATATTTCACGCAGGGCTTGCCGGGACTAAAGATACCAAGGTGTTTTCAAATCGCCACCCCCCACCCCCCACCCCCACTCTGATATAGGATAAGCGAGGCCAGACATATCTTCACATGTTTGCAGTTTGTAGTAGATCTGCAGATACCGTGGGCCCGCGGCAAGGAGTTATCCTGGCCTGCTGCTGCTGTCCTTGGTAGTAGTCGTCGTCGCAGTCCCGACCCTGGGGCCTGCCCACCAGTACAACAACCTCTGAAGAAAAGTAAACCTCCGTTTGAGCTTCGTCTATGTGAGTTGCAAGGCCTTCCTAACTTTGTTTTTTTAACCCTGGACAGGTTGTTGTTGTTGCTGCTGCTGCTGCTGTGCTGCTGCGGCATGTTCGATCCCTGCCTTCCCAGGATTCTAGGACGCCCGTATCTCAAACTCAGCCTTTGTTAATCACATGATTGCACCGACAAGGTACTAAACTAACCTCCCCTGTTCATCTAAATTGCGCTTGGGTTGACTTAACAGTAGCTAGGCTGTTCAATGATCAGTTCGTGATTTGATTTGGGGTCCAGATTCCATATGGTTTGACTTTTCTTTGTTATTTCTGCGCCTTCCCTCGCCTTGATGGATCCACGCCTTGATTTAAGGCAGTCTCGATCATACTCCCTCCGTTCCTAAATACTTGTCTTTCTAGAGATTTCAACAAGTGACTACATACGGCGCAAAATGAGTGAATCTATACTTTAAAATATGTTTACATACATCCGTATGTTGAGTCCATTTGAAATGCTTAGAAAGACAAGTATTTGGGAACGGAGGGAGTATATGATATGAACACTTGAACTGTTGAACAGCATCCCGAGCTAAGCACCAAGATTTTTTTGGGAACGGCTTAATCTGGAGTTTTAATACTATAGTATGTTTTCTTCTCCTTCAGATATGCTAGTGGTACATACATACATAGGACGGTAGCACAGTACAACGTAGGATAAGATTGCGCTGCCCATCACTACTCGGCTGTCCGAGAATCCTATGTCGACAACTCACCACAACTTAATGCCGGGGCCGGCCATGTTACTTTCTATCCACTCTAACCCCGAACTGCATTCTTTTCTCGTGCACCCTTTTTCCACCAAAGAAGGGATTCTGGATATCAGACTGTCACTGTTCCGAAAAGGATTTGCACTTGGACACATACGGCATGATCAAACTGCTGACCCTGTCTCGTGTTTTTCAGTTCGTGTTCATTGATGAGCCCAGTCTTGTTGGTTAGGCTCTCAATCATACGCGCCGCTGGTCTTAATTCGTGTGATTGCGTCCGTAGAATGAATGGAGTTGGGACTTGACATTCTACTGTACTATGACACGAGGTGGGAATCTAACAGACATTTCTGTGCAGGAGCCCCCATGCCATATGCCCAATATCAGACAAGCAAAATATCTGATATGGAAAGGAACTTCGCAACGTCATGGCCTCACGGCCATCCACGTACCACTCATGGTCAGACAGGCAGCATCAACTTCCGGATAACTTCGGGAACAAATCTACTAGCCCTTGTTGCGCTCCCAGTCCCAGACAAGATATTCGATGGTTCCTTTCACGAGAGACTAGGCACGGGCGGCCAACTTGCGCATAACTAAAGGTACAAAGAAGCATATTTATTCATGAAATGCTCGATTTCCTTGACAATTCCTCTAACGCACACACACATATCATCTGTCATGCTACGATGCGCCTCCATGGACCGTCGGTAACCGCATTTTTCTCCGTCGACGCATCGAAACGCGGCGGCTTCTTTCCTTTTCTCGAAAGAGAAAAAGGAAATTCTCTAGCCAGCCCATGTGTCCGCCCGTGGCGCGCAGCTGATCTCCTGCGTGTTCTCGAAAAACAAAAGCCAGATGCTCATGGGCGGAATTGACCATGTGACTGATGCTACTGCTGGTGGGAGAGCTTGGAGATCTG